AGTCTTCATGGCATGTTACGCGTTATGCTCAGTCTTCACTGCCAGTGGATCAGGTCTTTATATCAAGGCACAAAGGCGGCAATTGCCTTGTGGCGTTACCCGCCGCGCGGAGAAATTCCCTTTCTAGCCTGTATCCCACAAATATTGAAGCTGTTACATGTTATGCAAGACCTCAGGTCTTCATTCACGCGGCCCCGTTATGTGTTATGTGGATACATGGTTGTGTTAGTACAGTAGAAACCATAACTTCCGTACAACTTCCGTAATACAAGTACCCCATTCCAGACCAGCTTTCATCCGCTCCGCAATGTGTGCGAGGTCACAAAATCCCAAATATCCATATGATCAGATAATGAAGTGACATCCAGATCCTGCTGCTTTGGATAGCAGAGTACTCCCTCAAGCCCAAAATTGAGAGGTTCGGCGCTCACAATGATGAACCTTGAGTCTGTCAACAAGGGACGAAACTCGAATATGTCCCAGCCCAAAGGTTGTGCAGCGTTCTGGAACTCGATTATAAAGGCTTTAAACGTAGGTGGTGCGACGGACAGAGCGCTACGGACAAACTGCTCTTTCTCACTTGACCAGTAGCAGGGGAAGAAATCGACCATGATGTGAGTGAGAGAGGGACAACGTGTGAAGACTGCTTTCCACACAGCCGATAAGCTGTCCCCAAAAGGTATGTCAATCGCTTCAAATCATACGTTTAGGTGCGTGATATTGCGAGGAAGAAGAGTCTCAACAATGAGAGGGGAATCTATGTAGGCCACCGTAGAGAAATATCGGACGGAGGCGAGGCTCGTATTGGTGTAGGGTAGTAGATCGTTGATATCACACCACCATGCTAGATAGCAGATGCCGGTAAGGACGTCCAGGAGACATTGCAGATCTTGTGAATGGTACACGTCGTGGGATACACAGAGGCGTTTGACATGGCGCGCTAAGTCAATACACAGAGGCGTTTGACATGGCGCGCTAAGTCGATACGCGATCGTATTGTGTTAACGAACATTGTGCATCTGAAGGCGGAGCAAATGACAACAGTCTGGTATAGGATAGGATCAATCCTGGATGGAGGATTAGTTTGATTTAGAAAGAACTAGTTGGTCAAGCGAATTTCTTACCATGCGCGTACAGCCTTGGATACAAGGACGAGACGAGACACATCTCTGTGGTTGAGGATGGCTGCCGTCTCGAGAATATGTTGTGCAATGTCTAGTGGGAGGTTTGGGAAAGTTTCTAGTTGTGACATGATGGCGGCGATCACTCTTGCCTTTTTTACCATCATCAACAACAATTCTGCGTGGCAGAAAATGTTGGCCCTTGACGCCCGCCAAGTAGCATAGACTGCGTCTCCTCAGCACTGTGAACTACGACGACGCGCCTATCATGCCGCTGTTGTCGATGTCGGTGGTATATTGCGCGTTGCGTTGCTGCATATAATGGCATACGGTCCGTCGAACTCGCCCAATCATCTAATTTGATGCTGATGGACTACAGCTAGCAACTACAATCAGCCCGGATGCGGTGCCGTGGTCAGGCTGCGCCGTCTCTACCTTCATCAAACCTTCATTCCCAACATGCGATGCTAGCCAGGTAACCTATGCCTACTATATGAGCAAGCATCGATATAGTAGGCTTGGTAAATCGGTAGCAATAAATGGCGTGAACATCTTTTGGTTGTGTTTGGCACCCACGGATCAGTCGGTCCGACTTTCCTATATACCATATATGGATGTACGCGTCTTCTGCCTCACCGAAACACACTTTTCATGGGTAGTACCATGTCCTCGTGCTAAGCGAGGCTTGTGGAACATAATATAATGAGCTCTACACGTACTGAACAGCAAGCCAGACCCAAATCACAAAGTTCAACCACCTTCTCCCTCTCCGACACGCCAGCACCGCGGCATACTAGGCTTTGAGATGTCAACCACTGCTGAGACACCATCACATATAAGCACCAATGTAACAGTCTAATCTCATGCTTGTCCGCCTCCCATGCTCCCACCTCATCAAGTTGCTTGATGTGCACAAACCCCGGGGCCTCAGAATATTATCTTAGATCTCAATCCTCAATGACTCAAGATATAAATAGGGATTGTGTGCGCTCAATCAGCTTATAAGAGATTGGCGGATCAAGCCTACTGACCACCATGAATCAATGCAACACACAATTTGATGGGTACCGGAGTGGCCTCTATGGATCAGACTCCGCTTTCTTTCTGTCCCCTATCTTCATTCTAGCGTCGGATGTCGGGTACGTGGGTGGCAAGTACGCGCATATGGTTGCGTAAGACTCAAGGTCTGAAGGTCCATCAAGGAGTCATCATGTAGGGTGTTGTGAAAGAGCTGCAAATGCACTCAGCACAAGCGCAGCCTGAGCAGTATATTAATACACTGTGACAGCTTTTTACGAGTTTTAACAAGTGTGTAGGGAGCCCATGGCATCGAAACGACTTCTTTGGAATACGCTACATCCATATATGGTAGATAGGAAAGTCGGACCGACTGATCCGTGGGTGCCAAACACAACCAAAAGATGTTCACGCCATTTATTGCTACCGATTTACCTAGCCTACTATATCGATGCTTGCTCATATAGTAGGCATAGGTTACCTGGCTAATGCGACGCCTATTTCCCACTTGGTGGCCGCTACTCATTCTCTGCATCCCCGTCTACTGACTTTACATGCTTATCATGGCCCTCATCCACATGGTCATACGAGCAATGTCGATGGGAGACATGCTTGTCGATATCATGTCAATCCATTCCGTTTGCAAGCGCCCAGTACGCGCCCCCCAGTCCACCGTCCTTCCACCCGAACTATGGAATGCCATTCTCGCGAAATATCAAGACCGATCCACCCTTCTAGCGTGTAGCCTTGTCTGTAGCGCCTGGGCATCCATCAGCAGAGAGCATCTACATCTTAAGGAGAAGGAGCGGTATACTCTGAATTATGTTGATCTTGGGTTGAGCGTCTAGCGGATCCTATTGCCTGTCGATGAAGATTTTGCAGTTGTGAAGGTTTTGGAGTAATTGGGTACAGAGGAGAAGTTTCAACTTTGTCCCGCGCTGGCCGCAGTAGTTTCGATTGCGTGAGTTCTGTTTCTTTCCTTTCGTTCAAGAGACTCATATCCCTCCGATAGTACCATGCGTTGACTGAAATGACCTGTAAAATTATACGATTGAAAGGGGACATAGACCTCCCATGTCAGCATCTCTTCGAAAGCCCGGCATTCACCCGTTCGCATTCGAAGCCCCTTCATATGGTTGAGTAACGGAGCGCATGCTATTAGCGCACGCCGAGATGCTGCGCTGACTTTTGAAGGTTTGTTATCGTTTACCCTGTCATCTTTTAGGTTTACCCTTGTAAGTCGAAGATTTTGGCGGCTGTCAATATGAGCGTCTAACGGTCATGCGGTGGCTGCTGTTACTCGTCGAATAGGGTTTGTGAGATGTGAGGGTGTTTGGGTGGCATTAGATGCGAAGAAGTCGTGATGTTCGGGCACAGCAGCTTCATATGTGTAAGTTAAGCTTCTTTTTATTGAATCGCGCTCACATATTCCTAGACTTATGGCCACAATTGACCTTTGGCAGCACCGTTGTGACCAAAAGAATCATATCTGTGTTAGAAGCATGTACATGGAAGCGACGACGACGACGATAACGATCATCCTCCTTTCTCACCGAGGCGCCTGAGGACAAGCTTAAAGAACATCGTCGCATCCGACATCACCTTATGATTATAAACCAAGGCGTTCACGGGCTTCTCAGGCCTTAAGTACCATGGCACACGGTCTTCTTTCCCTTCGTCTCCACCTTCCAAGACGTCTCATCCCACGACCGATGGCAGCCAATGTACTCTCCGGACGCCTCAACTTCGCATCGGACTCTTCTGCCCCTGGGGCCTTCTGTTACCCATCCGTGACTCGTGTTCCAGCGGGGAGACCTGCACCTACGTTCCGGCAAAGTCGCGATGCATGACCTCAGGCTCGAGCGCCGGCCCTCGTTGGACAATGAAGGCTACACCTGGCTTTCGCTCCCATTCGACGACCTAGACGGCGCGCCTGGATGGGAGGCGAGGTATGCGCGGGAGACTTGCGAGTGCGTCTTGCCTCATGATCTTGTCGTCTCCGATTTGGATTTGATACTTACCCGAGGTGGCTCAAAACCCACATCGGAGCGGAGAAGTGTATTCCTATGAATACCCAAGTTCGGCGACGCACGTTGACGTTGGGGGAGGGGAAAGCTGTGAGCAAGCAGCCGGTGGCAGCGGTGCACGTTGATGTTAGTAGGGAGCGGGCTGTTCAGAGGCTTTGTAGTGCGTTTGGGAAGGATTTGGAGGGGAGGAGGATTGCTTTTATGTGCGTCGTGTTCAACACGGTCTATTTTGGAGTTTTATTCAAACGTGCTGATAGTAACATTTGGCGCCCGCTACGAGGCCCAGTCATCGACGTCCCACTTGCTGTCTGCGATGCGCGAACAGTCGATGCGGCGGATATGGATTGGACGACTGATCAAGTACGGTGTTCGTAGGATCCGGATAAGTAGCACGCCACTGATGATTATCGAGCAGCACGGCGGCGGGTACTTTATCAGGCAGAACTGTTTGTGTTCTCGTCTCTTATGGCGGCTTTGGATGTCTGACGTTGCCATAGGCAAAATGAGATGGTCGTACATCCGCAATCAAATGCCCGATGAGATACTCGTGTTTCGACAGTTTGATAGTGGTATGCTTTCTCCGAATTTCTCTTTGCGCGTGAGTTGATAAGCGGTCAGCGATTGAACATACGCCGGGCTCCGCTGCGTGTGTGCCACATACTGCTTGTGCGTAAGACTCTCATATTGTTGTGCTTAGGGACTCATGCTTGTTTAGTTATTGACGAAGAGCGCAAGGATCAAGGGCTGCCTAGAGAGAGCATCGAGTTGCGTTGTGCTGTTGTATACTTCTAAGTGAGCCAGTGTCGTTTAAATGTACTGAGATGGTCTTGGTATATCGGATATGATGTAACGGCTAACATTGCCGCCTCTCATTTGGTTGCATGTATTGACGCGGCAGCTCGGGGTTCGATTCCCCGTATCCGAATATTAGCAATGCTCCCTTTTTGATGTTTGGCCACTGTAGATGAATGGCATACATAGTAAGCAGAAGTGCAACACGTATGACTGATGAACCGAACTCCAACAAAATTCTCGCTCCCAAGAAATTTAGGTGTCCGTAACCTGTCAAAGGCCTATGCCAATAACCAAAACAAATTTGTCAGTGTAACCGGTTTGTCGAAGTGCTGAACGCGCTTAGTGCCTCTTCTGGAAAGTCCAAGTCGCGTTTTTTGTCGGCCTGGGAGCTATGCGTGATCTATACCACGCCGGGGTATCAGCCTTATCTTCAAGGATGAAATATTCATACGGCGGTACCATCATTAGTCTCCTCAATAGACCACTCCTGGTCCTGCGCACGCACAGTAACCTCCGTACCAGGCTGAGCCTGACTGGTGTAGACCTCGCGCGCCGCACCCTTGTTCTCGATGCGGTAGATGTCCTCGCGCTTCTTCGTGATCATCCACTATCATATTCCAAGGTTAGACGCTCGTTGAAAAGGGAGAAGGACAAGGAAGGAGGCCCATGTTGAACGAGTCCTGGTCAGTGTAGTACGCGATGGTCACGGGCGTGCCCAGGTTGCCATTGACGAGCTGGCAAGCACGTTGGTGATGGAGTAGGTTCCGGTTTCGATGGGGGCCATTGCCTGCTGTGTAAGATGCTTGTCGATGAAGATGAATCGATGCGATGAGGAAAGCTAGCTGAAAACAAAGAACCTTTGATTATATTCGAGAAACGGAATGCCAAGAGTCCCACGAGACTTAACGATAGTCACATCTGTTTGCCAAGGAACTAGAGCTGCCCGGTAGCGCCTCCATTCTTCAGTACGGGTGCGGTTGAGAATGAATAGTAGAGGATATGTACTGTTGATGAATATCATGCACCTGTTCGCCACAAGAGCAGCCGTCACCCAGAGGAGACTCGGATATCTCAGAGAGGGAATTAGCTCTGCGGATGGCTGCATGATCATCGATGTTCACCATTGTATTCATTTCGTCTTGCTCGTCTTAGAGCAGCAGACTATGCCATGAGCTGAAAGTAGTCGAAGAATTCATAGCCGGTAGTCGTACCACATCAAGAATTTATCCGCCAGTCTGGCTGGTGGGTCCTAGAGGAGAGATATGATGGCTGATCTGGTAGAAGATGCTCTCTGGTGTGTGATCATCCATAAGTGAAATCAGTGTGAATTGACCTGGACGATGTATCATCGTAATATAGAAAACAGTTGATGGAATATGGCACCCATTCGATAACATCATGTCCTCCGTCGCTTCCCGATCCTATTTTGCTCGAGAGCATCATCCTTCCTCCGCCCTACTCGCTCCAGGAACTCCGTTTTTTCTAGATATCCTCCTGCCCGCCGGCTAGCGTCGAGCTCATGCTTCAAATAAGGCTCAGAAGTCGAGACATGTTGGCGCCATTGCATGGCTGACATGTCCAACGTCGTAAGTTTCTTAGGCTTTAGGTTTACTTTCGTCCTGAAGGAGGCGTCAGGGAGGTCGTTGAGGGAGAGCTTTCCTTTCCGTGGACGTGGTGTCAGTTTTTGTAGCGGCGCTGCGGTACTGGAGTACGCAGGGGTAGTCTCAGAACATCGGGGCCATTTCTTCGCGTCATCAGAGTCCTCGGGTACCTCAACGACTTCTCTGAGGAAATGTTTATGGTAAGACAACGAAGAACGGGATCGAGTACGTTACTATCTCGCCAGCGTATCGGTGCTGCTTTTGGA